GATCACTCAAGTACTTCAAGTTTGAAAGATGTTATGATGTCTAGATTTTTAAACAGGAATTTGAGTATCGCTGGTTAAAAAATATGTCCATACAGCTTTTATTTTCTAATTTCCTAACACTTGGATATGTTAAGCCTCCTCATTGTACTGTCAAATGCTCATGATTCATGCCAGCAGAAGTTACTAGGGATGAAAAGAAGGTGGGAGTATGTGTGTAACAGTTCTCTATGACGCAAGCAGAGAGATGGGTTAGAAGGGAGGATATTTTTAGATTCTTTTTTTGAAACCAGAAAGAGCTTAAATCAGGTGATTTGTTTACCTTTTAAAACATTTTAAAATAGAAAAAAAGACTAATCTTCACTGGAATTTTCTGAAGGACACACAATTCTATTTCAGGAGAATAATTGTCATAATTGCAGGTTACTTTCTTAAAATACTTTAAAAAAATCTCTTCTAAAAATATAACTCCAGAAGGATAGAAAATGTATTTATGCCACAGAGTACTTGTACATCAAAGGAATTTGCTACTTCCAATCTCACAGTAGCATTTAAAGAACTAACTGGTAAATTTATGAGGTTAGAAATAAGGAAGGGGAAAAGAACTGACATGTAATTTCTTTCATTAGATATAAAATTTTAAAATTTTCTTTCATTTATTCCAGAATAATTTATGAAACAGGAAGACTCTGGGCCAGGTGCAGGGGGCACAGGATGAGCAGGACACAGTCCATGCACTGAAAGTGTTTTTGGTCTAAATGTTTTTCAACATTTTAGTCTCATGGCACACTGGACCTATAGTCACACTGTGGCACACTTAAATTATGTTGATTAAAAAAAGAATATACTTAACTGTGCTTTGAACTTTTTTTTAAAGACAGAGCCTCAAGCTGTCACCCTGGGTAGAGTGCCATGGCATCACACCTCACAGCAACCTCCTGGGCTGAAGTGATTCTCTTGCCTCAATTTCCCAAGTAGCTGGGACTACAGGTGCCTGCTATAATGCCCAGCTATTTTTTGGTTGTAGTTGTCATTGTTGTTTGGCAGGCCTGGGCTGGATTCAAACCCGCCAGCTCTGGTGTATGTGGCTGGCACCTTAGCCACTTGAGCTACATGTGTGGAGCTGTTTTAAACTTTTGAAAATAATTAACGTTCTTTAAAAATTTTTTGGATGGGTATGGTGGCTCATGACTGTAATCCTAGCCAGTTGGGTGAATGGCTTGAGCTCAAGAGTTCGAGACCAGCCTGAGCAAGGGTGAGACCCTGTCTCTACTAAACTAGAAAAAACTAGCTGGGCAATGTGGTGGACGCCCGTAGTACCAGCTCAGGAAACTGAGGCATGAAGATTGCTTGAGCTCAAGAGTTTGAAGTTGCTGTAAGCTATGATGACATTATAACACTTAACCCCAGGGTGACATAGTGAGGACTCTATCTCAAAAAAAACAAAAATAATTTTTTTTTTTTCACAGTACACCTAAGATCCTGTCTCAGCACACTAGTGTGTTGCGGCACACCAGCTGAAAATCACTGGTCTAGAGAGAGAAACATACACACATCTCACCTATATACATAGATATATGTATGCTCATGCACAGACACACCTGTACACATATACATACACTTATACAAAACATATAGGCACACTCACAAACACAAACATTCGCACACATATTCACACTCACACACATACATGCTTGGGCACTAACAAAGTGGAGATAGTGAGTAGAGTACGGTTTCAAGTTCAAAAGGGAAGGAGAAAGACAGTAGTGGCAACTATCTCTGTCCTGTGAGATGGCGATTATACAAGCTAAGGGAGAGAGAATTAGTGGAGTTGTTAAATGAAAGATCTGGATTCAATTCCAAATCTACCATTATTATCTGTGAAGCCACATCAAGTTAGTCATTTAACTCTCCGCTTCAGTTTTCTTCTCTTTTACAATACATAGGGTTTTTTTTTTTTTTTTTTTTTTTTGCAGTTTTTGGCCAGGGCTTGGTTTGAACCTGCCACCTCTGGCATATGGGGCCAGTGCCTTAATCCTTTGAGCCACAGGAGCCGCCCTATACTATATTTCAATTTGAGAAAATAGGAAAGGCCTTTTCTATTTTGGACAGAACAACAAAAAAGGAAACAGTCATATACCCATTTGCCAAAACCTACTTCTAGTAAAATATTCTGAGATAACAATCAAATATGTGAAAAAGGATTTGTGTACATAGATATTTATCCATGTTTTATTTAAAATAGAAATATTGTGCAGCACTGGTAGCTCAGTGGACAGTGTGCTGGCCACATACACCAAGGCTGGCAGGTTCCAGCTGGGCTGGGCCAGCTGAAATCAATGACACCTGCAACCAAAAAATACCCAGGCATTGTGGCGTGTGCCTGTAGTCCCAGTTACTTGGGAGGCTGAGGCAAGAGAATCACTTAATCTCAAGAGTCTGAGGTTGCTGTGAGCTGTGACGCCATAGCACTCTACTGAGGGCGACATAGTAAGACTCTGTCTCAAAACAAAACAAAAAAAGTGGTCAAAGGACCACTTAAAAAAAAAATTAAATGCTGGGTACAGTGGCTTATACCTGTAATCCCAGTACTTGGGAGGCCGAGGCACGTGGATTGCCTGAGCTCACAGGTTCTCAAGACCAGCCCCAGCCAGAGTGAGACCTCGTCTCTAAAAATAGCCTGGTATTGTGGCAGATGCCTGTAGTCTCAGTTACTTTGGGAGGCTGAGGCAAGAGAATCACTTGAGCCCAAGAGTTTGAGGTTGCTGTAAGCTGTGATGCCACGGAACTTGTGAGGGTGACATAATGAGTCTCTCTCTCTCAAAAAAAAAAAAAAATAAGTAAAATAGAAATATTATAGTCTAAGTATCTCATGATAGAAGAGAACAATTACCAATAGTACTGAAATATGAAAAATGCAGAATCCAAACTTTTTTTTGGGGGGGGGAGTCTCAGTTTGTCACCCTTGGTAGAGTGCTATGGTGTCACAGCTCACAGCAACCTCAAACTCTTGGGCTTAAGCGATTCTCTTGCCTCAGCCCCCCAAGTAGCTGGGATTACAGGCGCCAGCCACAACACTCGACTATTTTTTTTGTTGTAGTTGTCCTTGTTGTTTAGCCAGCCTGGGTGTATGTGGCCAGTGCCCTACCACTAAGCTACAGGCACCCTACCCCAAATATGCCCTTTATATGTTGCATAATCTCATCTACATTAAAAAAGTTAATGCATAGCATAGCCAAAAAAATCCTGTTTGGAAATACAATAAAATCTTACCAGTGGTTATGTCTGGGTAGTAGCAGTACAGTACTATTTTCTTCTTTGTGCATTTCTTCATTTCTTCCACAAATTACACTAATTAAAAATACATTTATTGTGGCATTGTTTTCACAGGTGTATACATTTGTCAAAACATACAAAAGTGCAGTTTACTTTATACCAGTACACCTCAATAACACTTAAAAGATAGGAGTATCTTGGGTGGCGCCTGTGGCTCAAAGGCGTAGGGCGCCGGCCCCATATACCAGAGGTGGTGGGTTCAAACCTGACCCGGCCAAAAACTGAAAAGAAAAAAAAAAAGATAGGAGCATCTTTAGAAGTTAAATAATTTAAGCCTCCTTCTGGAAGAGGGGTTTTGTTATACCATTTTGGGGTTGGAAGGCAAAATCGTTGGGAAAGGGCTGACATTACAGGTGGGCATTACGTGAATAGCCATATTGGCTCTGCTCCGGATACCTCCATTCATTCCCCAGCTCTGCTCTCCTTCTATACTGTCAGGAATGCTGCCAGGTACTTGGAGGTCACGAAAACAAGGAGTTACTGACTGGAAAGGGCTCTTCCCTGGTGGAGGTTAGGAAGATAGGTCACCAGTTGACCAATTCCAGCCCACGACCACACTGCCCCACAGGCAGTGCTGCCCAAGGGGGCCAAAGGTAGGCCAGGAAGCGAAGGCCTTACCGAGGCTTACTTAGTTCAGCTGGAGTCACAAAGGGTGGCACCAAGTTTACAGCTGTGGAGATGGCTAAGTTAGGTCACCCCCAAGGGAGTGTCACAGCCATCGCTTGAGAAGTGGGTTTAAATAATTTTTACCTATGTCTATCTTACCTGTGCACTTGCAGCAGTAAGAACTAAGATTGAGCGTTCGCAGCCTCATTTACTGATTGCTCCAACTTCAGGAGCGAACTATTAGGATCTTCACTTCACAGTGAGGAAACTGAGGCTCAGAGAGGTTACGGGCCCAAGATCTCAGAGCTGGGATCCCGAAGCCGAAGCTCACAGCCTCCAAACTCCCTTCTTTTTTTTTTTTTTTGAGACAGAGCCTCAAGCTGTCCCCCTGGGTAGAGTGCGGTGGCATTACAGCTCACAGCAACCTCCAACTCCTGGGCTCAAGCGAGTCTCCTGCCTCTGCCTCCCAAGTAGCTGGGACCACAGGCGCCCGCCACAACGCCTGGCTATTTTTTGGTTGCAGCCGTCATTGTTGTTTGGCGGGTCCGGGCTGGGGATTCGAACCTGCCACCTTAGGTGTACGTGGCTGGCGCCTTAGCCGGTTGAGCTATAGGCGCCGAGCCCAAACTCCCTTCTCAATGTACCGTGTTTGGGGTGCTTTTGAGAGCGGGAAAAAAGTCCACTTTCGGGCCCCAACCCGACAGCTCACCTTTCACTCCTTACAAATTTTCCCGATGCATAATGGAGGCAACATCCGCTAGCACAGTCAACAGGGTCGCGCCGACGGGGGCTGCTCCACTAAGGCAGTGAACTGACAGGATTTGGGACTTGGAAGGCAAGTGGGAAACAATTGCCTAGGATCGAAGAGCACAAGCGTCCAGCTCACACCCTGAGCCAAACGCGAGTTATCCCTTCAGGGCCGCCAGCGCGCGGGATGCAACGCGCGTGCGCGGGGCCAGAGGGGACGCCCCCGCGCGAGCGCGCTCTGGGCAGGGCGCGTTACCGAGCGGGCGCGCTCCGGAGTCGGCGCGGCGCGCGCTCTGGGCCGAGGCTGTGTGGGCTGGGGAGGGAGCCAGGCGGAGGCGGCGGCGGCGGCGCCCCAGAGCCGAGGGAACGCGCGGGCCTCGCGCCGCGGGAGCGGACGGCTGCGGAGGAGACCCCTGGCTCGCGGTCCGAGGCGGGAGGGCTGGCCTTTGACTGCCCGCCTCAGCGGCCGCTGGTCGCTTCCGTCGCCCGGAGTGGCCGCCGCCCCTGGAGACTCGCCGTGCCACGGGCCTAAGCCGCCGCGACTCGGGCGTCCGGACAGCTCGGACCCGTCGGGCCAGGCCGGGTGGGGAAGGGCGACCGGGCAGGTGCCGCCCCCAGAGGGTGGGCCAGGGGCGAGGCGCCCACCCGCGTGGCCCGCGGGCGGGGCTCGGCGGAGGGGCCGCCCGCGTCGCACCCCCACCGTGGGCCGGAGCCCCAGTCGCCGCCCCGCCTTCTCCGGGGACAGCCCGGCCGGACCTGTGGGATCCGGGAGACCCTGCGCTGGCCGCCGCCCGCTGCTCGCCGGGCTCGCAGAGAGAGGAAGGAGGAGAAACTTTGCCTTTTATTGTTTTTAGCCGTTAAAGTGCAAGGAACTCTGTGTTGGGAGGAAAAATGTCCTTCTTCAATTTCCGTAAGATCTTCAAGTTGGGGAGCGAGAAGAAGAAGAAGCAGTACGAACATGTGAAGAGGGACCTGAACCCCGAAGAGTTTTGGGAGATAATAGGAGAATTGGGGGACGGAGCCTTTGGGAAAGTGTACAAGGTAAGAAAAAACGGGAAGTTGCGCTAAGATAAAACGGCCACTGGTCTGGAGTGGCACGAGGACGTTTCGCTCCTCTTGTCCCTTCTTTTGACTTTACAGTGGTACATTGAAACTTATTTAGCTTATCATCCAAGGAGTAGCTAAAAAGTAGGGTTTACGGTTGAACAAAAAAGGGCCTGGGTGTAGTTTAAGGAGTGATTGCTAAAGGGAGCCAGGGGTACACAGTCTGTTGAACTTCAAAGGAAATGAGAAAATCAGAAACTCATTCCACTTTTCAGTGGATTTATGGTTGTCCAGTAACTTTGCATTCGCAGGCATGCATGTACTAACAGTTCCGTTTTTAGAGTCCAGGGCATATGTTTGGTTTATCTGTAACTAATGCATAACCACTTTCTTGGGATCATATCAGAGTGATTGCTGCTTATGGTCTACTCTCGAGTTGGCTCCTTGACAATGTACTATAAAATGGAGTAGGACTTCTGATAGAAAATTTCCAGAAGAAAACCTGCATGTGGTAATAGTGAATATGGCAGTAAGCATTGACTAGAAGTCAATATTGGCGCTTAAGAAATAAAATATACAAACACCGCACATATACACACATTTATTTCAGTGGAAAGAGGTATGGCATTTCAACCTGAAGGCGTTTATGTTAACTATTTACTATCTCCTAAGGAGCATGTCAGTGATGTCATCGGAATATTTTCATCCTGAAGGGTGAGGTTTTTTATGAGACGCAGTTTAGGGGCAGGGCCCATGGGGTTGCCTAGAGGTGAAAACAAAAATAAGTAACTTATGTTTATACAGGACGTTGCAGTTTTTAAGTATTTGCAGCTAATTTGGCCCCCACATGAATCCTATGAGGTAGGTAGTATCTACATTTCACAGATGAGAAAACTGAAACTCAGAAATTGTTCACACACAAGTCACAGCTTAAACTTGAACTCAGGTCTTTTGATGCTGTATTTAGTATGGTTTTTTATTTTAACATCCATTCGTAGAAATGATAGCATTTTCCTACTTTCTAAGCACTATTACACCTTGGCCTTTGCCCTGCCTCGAATGCATCTTGTCAAAACCCTAGTCCTCATCTTTCACACAGGCCAATATCCATTCATTCCTTTCTGTGTGCTTTCAAAATACATTGTTCACAGGGCTGCTATAGCACTTGTCATTTATTATAGTTAATGTGTTTATGTTTCTATAATAAAATTAGGGGCCCAAATTATGATACACATTTGGGATCACCCATACCTTATTAGCACATTGTTTATTTGTTGAAATGAAAGAATGTATTTTACCTACATATAAATGCTATTGAACCTATTGCATGCTGTGAAAGTTGGAAAAGTAAACTTAAATGTTTGCGTGGAGGGTAGAGTATGGGTTTCAGCAAGAGTTATATAAGATGTGAGGTGGAAGGGCTTCAGTGTAGTGTGGTAAGATCACTCCTGGGAATCAAAACTAGTGTTTTAGTGCTAGCTGTCACAAACTTTGTGGTCCTAGACAAAACCTTTAGCTTCTCTGAACGTCCATTTTCTTAGCTGTAATATCATATATTTCCCAGAAGTTAGTTTTGATTTTTGACCCCCATTAAAATTCTGTGAGTATGCAGTTAGCCAGGAAAGGCAAAAATAAATTCTGAAGGCATCCAGAAACTTGTAGTTAGAAGTTGGTAGGTGACTGATCATGGGCAGTTTTCATGGTGTTAATATGTTGTTTTATTGAATATAAAGAGCTTAGTATTAAGAGTACTGGCTCTGGAATTGGACTGTATCTCTGCTCCCTTGCTCATAAGCAGCGTGTGACCTTGGGCAGGTTACTTATTCGTTCTGTGCCTGACTTTCTTCATCAGTAAGGTCTGTTCCTCAATGTCTAAGTACTAAAGGAAATAATAAATATAAGGCATGTAGAAAAGGCGAAGTAAATGGTACCGATCACTGTTTACACTCAGACCTTATAGCATTTTAAGGGATGAGACAGGAAAAGGAACCAAGAATATCGTAAACCATTTTCTTGGTTTCGGATACAGGCAGATTGTGTGGAGATACTAATGTTAAAGTACTGTTTAATTCTTTTTTTTTTTTTTAATTGATACAGAGTCTCACTTTGTTGTCCTCAGTATAGTTCTATGGTGTCACAGCTCACAGCAACCTCAAACTCTTGGGCTCAAGCGATTCTCTTGAGTCAACCTCCCCAGTAGCTGTGACTACAGGAACCTGCCACAACGCCTGGCTATTTTTTTTTGTTTGTTTGTTTTAGCAGGCCCAGGCTGGGTTTGAACCCATCAGCCCTGGCAACCCTGGTGTATGTGACCAGTGCCCTACCTGCTTAGCTCTGGGTGCCCCCTCAGTACTGTTTTCTTTTGTGAGGCCTTAGAAGAAGTAGCATACTTTCCTATAGTGAGACATTAATTAAATTTTTCTGAAAAATAAGAGACTTTCTCTTTGTAGTTGAACATAATAAGACTATGTCAAGGATAATTTTTGTAGGCTTGATGACTATGTTTTAGGATAAAATTTGCATGGGTTCTGTGCATCTTTTTCCTTTCACTATATACTTCTAACTGCCCCAAGCTGCTAGGAAGTGAGTTTTTTAAAAAAAGAAAATTTGGAATTAAATCTTTTTTTTTTTTTTTGAGACAGAGCCTCAAGCTGTCCCCCTGGGTAGAGTGCCGTGGCATTACAGCTCACAGCAACCTCCAACTCCTGGGCTCAAGCGAGTCTCCTGCCTCCGCCTCCCAAGTAGCTGGGACCACAGGTGCCCGCCACAACGCCCGGCTATTTTTTGGTTGCAGTGGTCATTGTTGTTTGGCAGATCCAGGCTGGGGATTCGAACCCGCCACCTTAGGTGTACGTGGCTGGCGCCTTAGCCGGTTGAGCTATAGGTGCCGAGCCTGAAATTAAATCTTGTGTGACCCTTTTTGGCCTCTTTTTCCTAAAAGTTTTTGTTTTTTAAGATTCCCTAGAAATTGAGAATTTATAAACGTCCTTCTGTTTGGGGGGGAAAGCTGTCAAACCTTAACATTGTATGTAATGGTTTAGAGTAGACAATTGTTTATAAACTTGATTTAACAACCGTTTGAATTTCCATATTGAAAGCCCAACCTCACACTCCTAGGCTTAAGAGGTTCTCTTGCCTCAGCCTCCAAAGTAGCTGGGATTAAAGATGCCTGCCACAATGCTCGGCTATTTTTTAGAGACAAGATCTTGCTCTTGCTCAGGCTGGTCTCAAATTCGTGAGCTCAGGCAATCCACCCATCTCAGCCTCCCAAGTACTCCCAAGTACAGGCATGAGCCACCTCGCCCAGCCCTCTTTTGCAAATATGAAGTATGGCTGGGTGCCGTGGATCATGCCTGTAATCCTAGCACTCTGGGAAGCCGAGGCAGGTGGATTGCCTGAGCTCACAGATTGGAGACCAGCCGAGGCATAGGGAGACTTGTCTCTAAAAGTAGCAGGGCATTGTGGCGTGTGCCTCTAGTCGCAGCTACTGGGGAGGCTGAGGCAAGAGAATCACTTGAACCCAACACTTTGAGGGCTGTTGGGCTGAGCAATGATACCACAGCACTCTGAGGGAGACAAAGTGAGACTCTGTCAAAAAAAACATAGTACAAGGGTTTTTTGACTTATATGTGAAGATACGTAATACCCTTCACAAATTATTTCTGGATTTCTATTATTTTTAACAGAAAAGGAAGCATGACATAAAATTGTGAATTGGATTACATTTTTAGAAAGCTATTTTATTTATCAAACCGGTTGAAGTTGAACTTGCTATGTGCTGGATGGAAGTGATTTTTTTAGAACAACTAATGGGTGTGTACTTCTTTAAAAAATGGTGAAATATACAATTTTTGTATTGGAAAGTCAGAAACATATGTATATTTAGCAAAAAAAAAAAAAAAAATTATGAACAACAGTCAGGGTCTAGGAATTCTGCCCAAACCCTGGAATTTCTCCTGCTTCCTTTCTGGTTTTGGTCCTTTTTCTCTCCTAAAGGAAATCATTATCCTGTCTTTAAGTTATTTATTTATTTGCTTTTCTTCATTAAAGTTTACTATCGAGGTTTGAATCCCTAGACTTTGTAAATTTAGTTTGTATGCATTTGAACTTTATATGAATGGAATCATATTGAGTATATTCTATAGTGTCCTTCCTCTTTCAAAAATCAGCATTGTGTTTGTGAGATTCATCTTTACTGACTAGAGCTGTAGTTAGTTCACTTTTCATTGTGGCAGAGTAGTCCATTATGCAATTATATCACCAATTATTTACCATATGGTACTATTAGTAGATATATTAGTTGCTTCCAGTTTTTGGCTGTCACACATGTTGCTGGTGCACATAGGCATGAGTTTTGGTAAGACTTAATCTAGGAGTGGACTTGCTGGGTTATAAGGTAGTTTCTAACAGTCTGATGGCATATTATATTTTTATTATGATTTAGCTCACTTTTCTTGGATTACTAATGAGTAATTCTTTCCATATTTCTATTGGTAATTTGAATTTCTTCTTTGTCTTCAAGTCTCTTATTCATCTTCCTTCTCCCTCCCTCCCTTTCTTCCTTTCTCTCTCTCTCTCTTTGTTTCTTTCCTTTTTTGTTCTTTCACTGGGGTCTCACTTTGTTGTCCAGGTTAGAGGGCAGTGGCTTCATCCTAGTTCATTGCATCCTCCAGCTCTTGGGCTCAAGTGATCTTCCTGAGTAGCTAGGACTATCGATGTGTGCCACCATACCATGTCCAGCTAATTTTTGTAGAGATGGGGTCTTGCTGTGTTGCCCAAGCATGTCTCAAACTCCTTGCCTCAAGTAATCCTATCACCTTGCATCCCAAAGTGCTGGGATTACAGATGTGACCCACCACACTTGGCCTGTTGTCATTTTTCTGTTGATGTCTTTTTTTTTTTTTTAATTTGTGGAAAATGTGTGTGTGGGTATATATATGTATTTTAGATTTTAGCCATTTGCTGGTTGTAGTTATTGCAAATGTATTCTCATTCTG